TAATTAAAAAAAAGAATAATACCATGTAACGTCCAGTATTTCTATCTACTGGAAAGAAGAAGCAAGGGTCATGCATTAGCATATTGCCATATTGACTGACCATTCTCGCTGGCCAGATGTCCAGTGGTCAATAAGAGGCTTCTGGTTGACAGGGCAAGAGCAGGAGGTATCTGAGCAGGGGAACTGTGTGCTGTGTGTGTCGTGTGTTGTGTGGTGTGCTGTGTCAGGGGGGGGGAGTTGAGGACTGGGTGCAGAGTGCCAAAATAGTCAGAGACGAGCCTGACACTAAGTTGCATAATAAATGTTAAAACAAAACAAATGCAGCTCTTAATAGCCTTAAACTTTACAAAATGGGACGGACTGTAAAATGCCAGGCTTAGTTGGAGTTTCATTCACAATTTCGGGTAATTCACCTTCCCTGATGAGGTGCGGGAGATGTAATGAGGATGTGGAGTTTTAATTATATTAATTCTAATTACATTTATGACCAGAGTGGGCTGGATGTAGTTCTCCACAGGAAGGAAGCATCAAGTCATAACCCCCGATACACAGCTGGGGCCTGTTTCTGAACAAACTGGTTTATTATTACACAGGGTCCATACCAGTGGGAGTGTGTGTGCGTGTTTGTGTGTTAAGATGTGTAGCCTATACTCAGGGTCTAAGTGTAAATCAAACTGCATAGGACTCTGTATGGATGTGGCTGAATGGGCTGTTCTAATAACTAAAACAAATCAAAAACTGGAAATGCCCAATGTGACAGTGAGATGACTTTCAAGTTAATTAAAACCCTGGTCCAGTGTGTAACATTTAAAGGAATCTATTGGAGGACCCCGCACCCTCTTCTATGGGAGGTCGCTAGTTCTGAACGCCGCATGTTTCTTCGACACGTGCAGCCCCAACCAAACACTGGCACCAGATAGGGCCTTTCACATTTTTTGCAAGTACCACCGTAGATTCTCCTATGAAGAATCCTATGAATTAAGGAATGATAGATGGATTAAGGGATAAGCATGCTACCATTTATAAAGCACTGGTGTACAACTCTGGTGCCATGAGGTGTAGAAAGAAAATTATTTTTTGTCATGTCATGCTTCAAGATGAATATTTCAGCAGAGGCCACACTAATTTCCACCTTAACAGCTTGTCCTCCACTGTGAATATTCTGGACAGTTTCTTAAAATTCCTCTTCAACACCAATATTCACCAGATTTGGTACATAAAATATTTGGATAATCAGAGAAGTCCTTTCGGTGCCTGCTTGACATGAACTTCAGTGCCTTGTTCAATTGCAACCACATTACCACACATGCACATACCAACATCTAGCAATTCTCACCATTATGTGGTGCTTGTTACAATGACTGTGGCTCACTTTAAACTTTGTAAAAGTCATTGTTATTCCTGGATGGGATTTAAGTATTTTTAACCTTCAGCAAATCAGTAGAACTGTTTTTAAGTTTGATCCATATTTGAATCCAGATGCATATTAAAAATGTGTACATTTTCTATTTATAAATAACAAATTTAAGGGATTGTGAAGCTTTGAATTACGGCCCTTGGACAAAAATGATGAGAGACAGAAAACAGGTCAAACACTGTGCGACAGTTGTCACACATGCGTCATGTACTCACCACTGTCTCGGTCTCGGTCTCTGTCGCGGTCTCTGCGATGGCTGTGTAGTCGCGCGGCTGCAGCGATCTTCATCTCCAGCTGTTTGCGCTTGGAGGCGTCTGCTGGCATGGGGTCGCTGTAGTGGGGCCGGAGACGGCACTCTCGCTGCGCCCTCACCGTCTCAGCCAGCTCATAGGCTGCGTCCGAGCTGGAGCGCCTGCAGCCCAGACCGGTGTGCTGCCGGTTGGAAGGACACGTGTGTCAATCAAACGGTCATGTTGCTATAGCAACAGATGAAAAAGGGCACAACTCTCGGAGGAGATAAGGTGAGAATGATGATAAGGGAGAAATCACAGCTTGTGTATCTGTGTGTGTGTCTGTGTCACCATGTTCACCATCATTACATAACAAATCTTGGTTATCTGTCTGATCCCTGCTTGTAGAACTGACAAGACTCCAGATTTCATACTGAGATGTAACACTAATCGTCTGCCAAGTCTTGTAACAGACTCTAAACGCAACGAGGCCACACATCCAAAAATATGCTCTGATCACATCTTGAAACCACCCAGCCTCGAAGATAAGAAACATCCCCGTAGTGACAATTCAAAGCTCCAGCAGTTTTTTAAGGTAAAGCGAGGAATTCCCCGACATGCTGCAGCATTCTGCATGGACAAACACTCCTCACATGGCTTTTGAAATCCTCTTAGGGTCTACCAAGCCCCTGAGAGTTGACCTAAGGTGGAAAGTTCAAAGGTCATCGCTATGACATGCAACTCCTCATCCCAGAGGCATCACCCACATCCATTGCATTTGATGATACTGGCTTTACATCAGAGATTACCTCCCCAAATGTTGACCATTCTCTGACAACTAACAGCTACACATGGCTGAACGGCGCAGAAAGGTTTTCATTGCTCTATACCAGAATACAACATGATATACAGCTTGCAGCAATCAGGTAAAATGAAGGAGAATAATTCATGTTCCGCTGAATTATCAAATCGCAGCCCTTACTTTGGGAACGCATAGGCAGGGTCCATTGTGGATTCAAAGCCAAAAATTAAGAAAGGCAAGAAGCAAACGCACCTCGACATCTGTTCTCTAAAACCACCTACAGCCTTGTAGCATGCAAGCAATATGTGACTCCATGTCAGCCCGGCTCCTCTGTTCTGCAGATGCACAGAGTGGAGCACAATGCTTGCTGCAGCTGAGGCTGGAGTCAAGCTGCAGCCAGCCAGCGGAGAGGAGCCATGCAGAGAGGAATGAAGCGCTGAGTTACCAGCAGCCAGCTTGATCCTCTTTTTACTGCATCGTCAGACGTCGAGCTGTTGCTGGAAGACAGAGCGCTGCATGCTCGTTTCTGTCTCAACAAATACCTCTGCACCAGTATGTGTGAGTGATGTGCATGTGTGTGTGTCGCAGTCCCCTTGCTTGTCCCAGTCATCCTTGAATACCAATAGATCTATGTGTTTCTGTACACTACGAAGCAACTATGAAAAGCGGCGAGCAAAGACACACGCAGGCGACACATTTAAGACATTAAAAGGGGGGAAGAAAACGAAAAAGAATCCTTACGCATTCTCCTGCTTCCTCTCTTCCTCCTCCTCCTGCAGGCGTCTCGTTGCCAGCCTCGGCTCTGCAGGCCGTTGCCGACGTTGCCATGGCAACGGCGGAGAGCTGACAGTCGGTCGAGGGGGCGGTGATGTCACAGCCTCCGTCCCGGTCACCTGACAGCCTGACGGGGGCCTCGGCAGAGATCTCTGCACTGCAGCTGGTGGAGAGATGTGGAGACAGTGGTACAGAGGGGGAGAGAGATGGATGGAGAGAAGGGAGGGAGAGAGGGGGAGAGTGAAAGGGAGGGACGCGGGGAAGCAGAGAAGACAAGGAGAGGGGAGAGCGAAAGAATGAGAGGAAGAGAAGGAGGATAGAAGCAGGATGTGGGAGGGAAATGAAGAAAATGCAGGGAAGAGAAAAGAGAGGAGGGTTGAAATTGTAATTCTGTCAGAGCACTCTTCTCCTTACAGCATCCCTGTCATTCATTCTTCCCTCTCCTCTTCCTCTCACATGTCACCCTCCCCCTCTTCCATCATCCTTCTGCCCACCCCAAACACCCAAACCAATGCATTTCCTCTGTTTCTAACCCCCCAAACCTCCACCCCTGCTCAGGAGGACAGCAATTAGACTCATCAGCAGACATTAACACCTGAACCCTTGGACCACAGGGACACTGCCTGCACACAAACATACACACATAAAGGCATCATACATTTCCTTCATTCCTTTGTCTGATCACTGGGGATCCATTCTTGCAGTACACAGCCAGCATGTGATCCAAGACACCCCACAACAGCACACAGGCAGTGACAAACACACTGTACGACTACACTAAAGTGCATACATCCATGAACACAAACCACAATTGCATGCCTGCAGGGACTCATGCATGCATTTTTAAGAGAACATATCAAACACACACAGCACAGACAAGAAGTCTAAGCAAGCGTTGCGCCCTAGGAGTAAGATGCTGACCATGAACCACAATGTTGTTGTTAGTCATTCCCCTGTCTCCCCCCCACCCCCGCTTTCCTGTCCCCCCCCCCTTCCTTGTTCCTGTCTCTCTAGTGTTTGAACTGTGTCCAATAAAGTCATTAAAAAATACCCAAGTAAGTTTGTGACCACCAGTTCTCACAATTTACCTAAAGGTTGCATTGCTTCTATTTTTTATTCTTTTTTTGGCCAACTGGGGGCAGACAAAACACTTAAACACATAATAATGCATAATAAGTTGTTATGTTGACCATTCAGGCAGACACAAACAACCCATGATCAATAATGGTAGAAATTGATGGGTCTGGTGTATATCAATCTAGTATGATTTAACCTGCTCTATAATTTCAAAGTGTCCTGAGATAACTTTCTGTTATGAAGTCAGGTTCTTGAAAACTAAAACAAAACAATGATGTGGGACTTTATATTTCTTGTGTTTATATGAATTTATCAATTAACATTTCTAGTCTATACCTGAAAAAAAGTTGACAGTATTTTTAAAGCCCTGAGTAGTGCCTGCAGATCTTCCTCTCAGGCTGCAGGTATAACTTTAACCGATCAGACGGTAAAACAGCAAAACAACCTTTGCAGATTGCTGCTGCTTGTAAAGTTTAATTACTTTCCACGGTAATGCTTAAAGCTGACCGAGAAAACCATATCAACATCTTTATCAAAATTGCTCTTCTCTCCTCTGGATTTTGGCAGATGAACAGTCTGAAGACTCTGTTTAGAGAGATTTTAGTGAGTAAATCAAACTAAAACCTTTCAAACTAGGGGAACAAAAACAGGATTTTGTAAATTCTGCCCTTGTGTCTCCACCAACTCCTGAGAAAAATATCTGGCTCTGTAACAGCTTGATGTTCCACCTTTTTACCAGCCTTTTTTGTGAAAACCTTCTGTCTCTGAAACACTAAGCAGTAAACAGTGCCATCAAACCAAAACAA